ATACATTCACCTCTGTCGTTGGCTCGCATGTATCACAGTGATAAGCACAAGAAATAGTGCGTTTGTTTTAATTCATTATAATTAAATGCCTGCACTAATATTCCTCTTTTAAAGTAGATATTTACTAAATAGATATAAAACTATTAGTTTAATTTGAAATAATCCTTGAAATGGCATGTTTTTAACGTTATGTCAAAAATCTTGACGTGAGCCAAGAGAGAAACGAACGACAACTCTGCATAGGAGATTGATAAAATAGTATGAAAATACATCGGGATCAGTATACCAGAAGGATTATTGTAGACTGGCAGTCAATTGAAGGACCTTTGAAGTTGTCAGATTTTTTTCATTTTTGCACCTGAGATTTCTTAAATAACTGTCACTAACATCCTGAAGTCTGGGGATCTAAATCCCATTATTGCTGGAGATATGATGCATTTGCCTCCCTTACTCCAGAGCAGTCAAGAATACACACTGAGCACTCTGACAGAAGTTTTTTGTGCATATTTTGAAGCAGAATTTCATCCTTAATAGACTAAGCCTGGCAACCAATTTTGTATCCGTGGAGAGTATATGCACTGTTCTTCACAACAAACAAAAAATAATTCACAAGTCTGAGACCATTATGCAATTATTACATAACAAAAATGCATTTTACCCTCCTAAGAATGACAGAATTTACAGAAATTGTTAAATATTAGGTTGATAAAAAAATCTGCATCTGGTCAATTTATGTTCCAAATAAAGCCTAGGTACTTGTCTACAACCTGCTATGCAGAAGTTTATCTAAAAGCTGTGTTGTAACACAGGGCAGTCCAAATGATATCAGCATCTGGGGAGGTTCTGGACAGCTCTGACACTCCATTAAACTTGCTTTGATGATAAGAAAATGGAGAAAACAATTCAGATGTAATTTATTGTTGTGATTTATGTAACTGGCTTTCTCTGCAGACACAAATTAGCCATGAAATTCCAGTTGAACATACATAATTATCCTCTTTTCATTGAATTACTCAGGAATTTCAAAGGTGTTTGATGAATTTGCATGATTAATTCAAGATTACAGCTTTTTGTTTCACCAAATTTACATAAAAATTCAACATTTAAATATAAAAATATAAATCTTAAACATTTTTATGGGTCTTAACACTTTTAAATGTGAATAAATGCAACAAAGAAACTAATATCAGGCCATCCTCCATGATTCTTGGAGGTGGGTGGGTGTACAAAAACTGCTGATAAAATTTATAGGAAGTGACAAAAGAAGAACAGGGCACTTTATTAGCTGAATTATGGTTATTCTGATATTTTGATTGTGTAAATATGTCAAATTTCTTCATCACTTTAATTTGTAATTTATTAATATTTCAGTACATTAATGTGCTTAACAAATCATGCTAAAATAAACATCCTGACTGAGACTTAATTTAAAAGAGAGGGTCAACACCTACATAAAAGTGGTAAAATGACAAAAAACATTCTCCGGCAAATTGAAAAATCTTGAATGTCAGCTGCGAAAGCATGGAAAAAGTCTAGAGAACCAGAACAGGCATACCATGGTGCTAAGTGACATTCTGTACTATATGTGTGATGCATGGTTGGGACTCAGAATAAGTATTTACTCTCATGCCCTGACAGTATTTATGCATTTTTGGTCATAAGCTTCTTATTTTTGAAAAATTCTTAATAAATTTTATTTGTGCATTACTTTTATTAGACAAATTTAACTCATTTCATTATTTCTATTCCTCCACTCCAGTAATAAATGAATCACTTAAGGTGAATAAAATGAAAGTAAACCCAGTCTCTGTAAAATTTAACACTTTTTAAAAACATGTTTTACTTCTTCACACTTTATCGCAGTTGTCGCTTTTGTTGAAAACTTATTCGCAAACCCAGAATTAGTCTTTTCTTGAAAAAATCAGCCTAAAGTGCTTTTACGGCAAAGTCTGTAGACACTATAATTGACTGCGGTCAGGTGGTGCACAGAGTTTAAAGTCATCTAAAATAAAAAACCAACATTTTCTAACTTCTTTCTACATGTCAGATGCATAATCCTTCTTTGAAAGTCATAATTTGGAGTTTTGAGGGTAAAACATGACATATTATTAGTATTTTACATAGAAATCTGTATAAATTAATGTCAACCCTGCTTCTATATTTAAAAATATGTGCTTTCACACAGAAAGTTCATAAAATGACATATTTTGTTGAAATATGCCTTTATAAAATTAGAACTGCTTTTAATATGGGTTTAGATGATTTTACACAATCACCTTCAAGGTATCACACCGGTAATTGTTTTCACTATGTAATTCTATATAGAATAAAAAATCATTGAAAATCAGGTATTCGAATTCATGAAAAAATATTAAGCAGGAAGTGTTAAACGTTACCTGTCACATCAGCTGACACCAAAAAATAGGGTACCTACACGGCATTTTCTGATTTTTTCCATCCGCAAACAGGAATACCCTCAAAACCACGTGTATTCAATATGTTTATAAACATCCTGTGTGCACCCCAGGAAGTGGCCTCCTATGTCCCGAAAGAAATAGTTCCTGTCAAAAACCTTTAATATTTTACGAAGTACATAAAATATCCTAAGCACAGATACCAAAAATGTAAAAATAGAATAAGGGAAATTAAAAAATTTCTCACAATAAAAAAAATATTTCTTTATTATGTATGGAACTACAATCTAAGTTCATTTTGATTGGTCAATTACCGGTGTGATACCTCAAGACAGACTGAAATCTCTTTTGGGGGGATTTTTGGATTAAAAAAAATCATTATCATTACAGCTTTTAATGTTGGAGAATCGCATTATTTTTTGTTTCATTGTCAGATTTTATATGATAAATTCTATTTTATCGGTTTTACCATCTCCTTAGCAGGCAAATGCCTGAATTATAATGCTAGCAAATGCTAGTAACTGACCATTTTTAGATTTACATTAATTTTAAATGATTGTATAAAGCAGCAACAATACGTTTCTTGGAATACTCTAGTTATCAATTAACAATGTTTATGTTCATTCAAAAGCTGATTCGATATATCCCATTGAACATTCAAAATGCTAATCCTCCTACAGTTTTGGTCTGATTTCAATATAACTTGGCACAAAAGTATACCACACTAAGATACATATTTCTATATATCGTTTATTGATTTCTATGAACAGTGTTGTCATAGTTACTAAAATATAAATTTATGTGAAATACTTTCAAAAACGCTTCTCCTCCTACAGGTTTAGTCCGATTTCAATAATGCGGCATGCAAGTAGAAATCACTAAGATGCATAATTCTGTATATTGTTTTTTTTTATTTCAATGAACGGTGTTGCCATGGTTACTGAAAATAGATTTTTTTGAAATATTTTTCAAACACTGCTCCTCCGACCGTTTTGGTCTGTTTTTAAATATTACTTGGCACACAAGTAAACTACACTGAGATACATAATTGTATTTTCGTCTTTTGATTTTGATGAACGATGTTGCCATAGTTACTAAAACCAGAGAATTCTGTAAAATTCTTTCGAAAGGCTACCCCTACAGTTTTAGTCTGATTGCAATAAATTTTGTCACAAAAAGAGAATAAGCCAAGGATCATAATTCTATATACGGCTGTTGCAAAGTTTCAAGTCAAAGTGCTACTTTTCTCTTCCTTCGTTTTAAGTACAAACAAAGTAGAGCTACAGTCTTGCCAGAGATTTCTAGTTACTGTGTTACTGACTGTCAACGAAATATTGGGTTATCAACCCGATTTACTTCCGTAAACAGTCATTAACAACCTACAAAACATTCATTATTTCAGAATGCTAAATTCGTTTTTACGGATTTATAAAATCTGTTGTAACATATTTTTATCCAATCTATGATAACAAATTAATAAAAATATTCGATGAACTATGAAGATAACGAATCATAATCAAGCTCAAAAGTCCATTGGAACAAATAGACTGGGAGCGGAGCAAACAAGTACCTCTAAAAAACATCAGAGGTGAATTTTGAAATTCATTAAAACTCATTATACAACGACCTAAATCTGTTATAATGCATTAACATATTTAAAGAATTTGCCATCACAAATTACAATGTTATTGTATAACGAATCTATTAAATTGAAAATTGAAATCATTTAATTTGTTCTCACAAAATCTGCAATCTTTTATCTCAAATCACATCAAAATATGCTATAACAGATTTTCGATATCCGTTAAAACTAAATAAACAATTCAAAATTCTGAATTATAAAAGTTCAAACTAATTTTATTCATTGAGATAACTATTTGAATTCGTTATAACGAATATAAAAAAAATTGTTATAACCGATGAAATTCGTTACGACGAATTCAAAGGAATTGTGGTTATGAGAATAAATTAAGTGCAATTTAACAAATTCGATTAAGTTTCGTTAAATCGAATTCAAAAACATTTTTGATAGGTCTTAAGTGGGCCTCCGTAAATTTCTCAGGCAAGACAGGCTACTGACCAATAAGTTGATTATATATGTATTATATCATTTGAAGTGAAATGTGTTGTACTAAATGTTCGAACAGAGACTTAAGGACAAACATACAAGGAGAATTTAGGTTGTGAAAATATTTCTCTGGGTAGTGTTGAAAATTGGAATGTAAAAACATCATCATCCCCAGGCTGGATTAAAAAAGTAAAACCCCGAGGGATGAGATTAACAGTGCCGGCACTGACAACGGCATGAACGGGAAATTGTATGTACGCTCAGAAACTAATCAATCACTCGTATAATTTCCGAGATAAAAAGTTGTAACTCAAGAGAACATTAATTTTACATGTTTGTATTCAAGTAGGACGTAGAGAGAGAAAAAAAAATTAATGGAACATATGTTAGTAGATGCCATTTAGCATATTTGAAGTATAGTAAATTAGAGTGTTCAGAAGTCGACACATGTTATGTATGAATCTATAAATGTAGATGATGTACATAAAATAAAATGACAATTGTGCTACTTGTATAAGAAAAAGAATCAGTGAAGATGAGAACTGCATTTATTTCGGTAAGCATTAATTCTCGAATTTTCATTTAAAAAGTACGGAAGCTTAGAAGGGCCAAATAAGTAACATAGAAAAAAATCGAGATTGAAAGTCGTAATGAAGATAAAAAGTCATTGTAATTATGACTCAAAAAAGTAGTAATAATGAAATAAATGTTCGTTATAGGTACTTTTAACGAGATAAATTCTACTGTCATATGACTGTTCCTCAGCTGTTTTTCTCCGTCGTTCATCGTGCGCCGTTAACATTTAAATATTTTTAGCGTCTTTTCTGTAAAGGCTGAACCAATGTCAACCAATTTTAATATATAGCATGAATGGGCAAAGATGAACAACAATAATTACCCAGCAGGCATTTCAACGTTGTTTCAACGTTGAAACAACGTCGTACCTCAACGTTGAAATGACGTTGAATTTTAGTTGGATTTGAAAGTTGAATGGACGTTGAAATCCGACGTTGGTTCAACGTTGATATTTTACGTTGTTTCAACGTTGAATTAACGTCTACGGACGTTATATCGACGTTGAAAAAATGTTGATATTTGAGTGGTTTTGGTTGATATTTCAACACATCTTTTACTTGTAATATATTGAAAACCTTATCAAATTTGTCGTAATCTTTAACTCTCAAATTGAATTTGCTCATCTATTAATTGAACATAGATCCATTACACACACTGGTGTGTATAATTAATTCTATGTATAACAGTAAACACATTGAAAGGAAATTTCCAATCAATTTTGTATATATTTATTTCTTTTTACATCCATGAAAACATAATCACAATTTATTCCCATTTGTCATCACTTAATGGCAATTGCATGTCACATGTGGTTCAAGTCTAGGTAAGAATTTCACATAAGTACGAATCCGATGGAGTGAAAATGTATTTTTTTTAACTATTATTGCATGGCATTGTGAGTACTCCATCGACGCGGACATGTTCTGTATACGTATTTCAAAATTCACATGATTTTAGATTGGTAAGGAAAGAACAGGACGGCTATAATTTAACATCTGCAAATAAAAAAAATACATTATTCAGCAGTAATATACATGTACAAGACTATATGTATAATTTGATCTGATATGTATCTTTAGAATATGATTTATTCAATGCGGATGTTCAACCCACTATGTCCTTAATCCTCTGCTATTCAGAGCGTATGTGTGTCGCATTTTGAATCGTGCAAAATTTATGAAGGATCAAACGCCAAATATTTCATCAAAATTATTTTCAAAACACATTTGAGAAGCAAAAGTTGCATGTCATTGTAAAAAAAATCATTTAAATAAACGTGTACTTACCTTCATTGGGGATGTAACGATCCAAAATGTGGAATGGACATCAGCGTTTCACGAGTCTAGCAAACAAAATGGCGTTCTCGATCTACACAGCTGGATAGGTTCTTTGTTTCAGTTCGCGCCAGTAATTTAATACCAAAGTGGTAAGCATGTTTTGGACATTGATAAGTTCGGACATTGAGGTTTTGAGGTCAAACCACATTCAAATAGCTACCGCGCCCTTGCATCCGATTGGTTTTTACATGTATGCATGTACTGAGTAAAATAAATGCATTTATTGTCACATCTTAATCAAACACAATTTATGTAGTATTTTGTAATGAACATTCGTAATTAATTATTCTTTTTTCAAACATGATTATATTAACAACACATTCAAATAATTATTGCATAAATGACAGCAACTATTTCGTCGGATTATCATTGGTTATACAACGTCAATCTGACGTTGAAAATAAGTTGTGATTTCAACGTCTTCTTTTCAACGTCATATGACGTTGTTATTTGGTTGATCAACGTCATCAACCAAGATCAACATATTTTCAACGTTGGTACAACGTTGTATGCCTGCTGGGTATATGAATTTCATGGGGTTGGGCCAAAATCATCAAAATTAATGCAATCTTCAATGGCCAGGAAACATTTATATCTGTACACATCTCGCTATCATTTGTTAGTCACAGCTCATCACCTATATACATAGCAATGGTTATGTAGAATGAAAATTAAAGTAAACAAAGTCGAAATTTTAAAATCAAACAGCACGAATAGTAGAGCAAATTTGTTGTAATGGATCGCTTTGCAAATTACACAAGTCATATAAATTTTTTTAATCTTACTGTAAGTTATCAAAGTTTTCAACTAAAATTTATTTATACAATAAGTAACTTGTCAGTGCATACGTTACTGATTAAATCATGGGCTTATAAAATATGGCGTTGTTGATAAATTGTGATAATTGAATCTTAAGGGAGCCGATTGAGGTTTTATTGTGTGAAAACTACTATAGAGAAATTCTTTAAATTTATACCATATGTACCTTACATTGACTTCAGTATACATGCCAAGTTTATTGAAAATCTGCCGTCTGGTTATTTTTAGGGACCATCTCAAAATACAGGTAAATTCACTATAGGATTATATAGGAAAATACTATTTTTTTCGCACTTCGGAGCAAATTATATAGATGCTACTATAGACTTTTTGCTCAAATTATGTTATTTGATGAGTAATACTATACTCTACATTTTATGCAAGAAACACAAAATTCTACTATCTGGTTTCCGGGGGGGGGGGGATCTCAAAATTCATGATATTTTCATGTTTCTATGGAGTACTACAAAACATGACAGATACCACAGATTTAAATGAAAAATGATAAAAATGTTTGCGAGATTCTCAATTTCCTATGTTTAAAATTTCAAGAGCATCTATTTTATACCTTTTATTTTATGACACAATTAATGACCCCTCTTAAAGAACTTCGTATATTCATAACGTCAAAAACACACTATTAAATTTGTTTTTAAAAATCGGTCATTTAAAAACGTAATTAGATTTTTTAACCTAAGATTTCCTATTTTTGTTACTTTTTATAAATTATGTAAAAATAGTTGCTTTAAAAAAGTAAATACGCTTTATTTTACTATGCTGCGCGAAGTACTGCGCAATGAAAACCCCAGTCGGCCCCCTTAAATGAATTTATATATATATATATATATTCATGCAACTAGAGCTGGTGTGAAAATACATGAAATAAATCCCCAATTTTTAGTAATACGAGGAACATTTTGCAATATAAGATGTTTTGGCGAAAGTTTTGCAATTTATATTAATAGCGATTTTTTTCCTCTGCAAAAATGGGCTGAATGTGTTTATTTCTAAAATTTAAATCAATTTATTACAAAAAAGGGAATATAATACTGAAGTATATCTCTAAATGTCAAGCCGAAATCCTGGAATATGAGACAGGATACAGGAACATGTAATTTGGTGAGTGATTTCGTTGTAGGTATCAGTGTTGATCTTCTTGATTCTACATCAGTCGGACAGAACTGATGCCTGGTTGTTTCAGAAATCCCACAGTAGATGCCAAGGTAGGACGATATTTGTTTGTAACAGTTTTAATGACTAAAGAAGAAATATAAGATAGCCAACTAGCAACTTAACTGTACGACAAATAGGATCAGCTTGTAGTAATATTCCGCTATCACCTGCTTATGGTTTTATGTCTAGATCAACTTATTCGATACGCAAGAGCATGCCTCGAGTACGATCAGTTTTTATAAATCGAGGCAGGCTAATGACAAATAAGTTGATGTTACAGGGATTTCCTCGTCTTTAAGTCATCATACCGCAAATTCTCTGGTGGTCACAATGACCTAGTTTGCAAATACTGCAGATCGCCAAATTCGCGACAACTTATTTTTGCTAGATTGCTAATCGGTATTTATAGGCGAGACAAAATTTTCAAGAATTCTGAATTTTTTTGTACTTTAATGAAAAAATATACGTGAGAATAAAATTTTCGCGAGCAGACGGTATCGCTTAATTACGCCAAAATAAAGTTCTCGCGGATAAAAAGTTACTTACAGTACAACTAAATGCGAAGGATATCTTTATGACTGCAGAAAAAAATCTTTAATCGTTTTTCTTACACTTAAAACAAACATGTCAGTTTCCTGTTAATCTAAACGAACATGTATGTATTGAAATTTGTGTTTAGATGAGATTTACGGCATCATGGTCACATACAGGTCTTGCTTGAAACTTTTCAATTGCAGGAAATAAGAAAATAAAAAATACGAAATATGACAATTAGGTATCATCAACGAGAGACTTAATAAACTTAACGGTCACCAGAGTATAATACAAACATCTAAAGGTTTTAATGGAATCTAAAATATAAAACTCAAACTCAAAAGCAAGAGAAAAGGGATTATCATTTTCTCCGGTCCTGAGTATTAAGCAAACAAAATGAGTGCTTTGTTATGATGAGCATTTGTGCCTCTTCAAAAATTATGAATTTCTCTTGCTTTTTGGCAACATAGCTTCGTCTTTCAGTTTATTATTTTCTTAAATTAAAAATCTTTAAACGAAGTTTTGGGGGGATATAGAAATCACTCTTTTCGTCTGTCTGTGTTATCTTATCCAGGCTATAACTTATTAATGGAGAATCGTTCGAAGCTCACATTTGGTACAGAGATTCTTTATGGCCCCAGAGTGTGTGAAGACCTTTAGCAAAGGTCATTCTGGCAAGTTCAAGATCACTGACAGAAAAGTATAAAATTCTTGTCCTTGGCTATTACTTTGTAATGGAGAAACACTGGAAGCTCATGTTTGGTATAAAATTTGTTAATGACCTGAGGCTGTGTCATGTCCTTGACCCAAAGTCTGCTTCCGATTGTATTGTTTCAGTGGACATTTGAGCTTGATTACTGTTCGTTATCTCCATATTTCATTCTAAATAAATGAAATTATCATTAAACATTTCATTTTCGTAATGTAGCCAGATTCGAATTACATATACACAACTTGAAACAAACACGTACAACACGCAAATCTACGGACATTTCATCCATTGCTGTCAAGCGCGGGCGGGGAGTTGTCTTTATTTCAGGGGTTACCCCGTAGTTCATCTTAACTTATTGGCGGCAAGCACTTTAAAATAAGAAATAATGATAGTTCCTTTTCCGATGTGGCAACTTTTTATAATTTTTAATTCCCGTAGACTATTTTGAATTTACTTCCGTCAGGTTTAAAAGTTTGTAATTTGTAATTAATAATTTAAAGTGGAATTTTAAGGACAAAAAAATATTATACAACGTGCGTGGTACTACTATGCTTCCGCATACCAAGTCCATTGAAAAAAAGTAATATTTTAGTGGACAACATTTAATAAATTTCGTTTCAGTAAAAAAAAAGATGAATTTAGATGAATTGAAATCAAAGCATCTGTGAATTACCCGGTATTACTTTTAACTAACAATACAAAGTCGCCCGCGTGGCGCAGTGGTAGAGCGTCTGCTCTAGAGTCGCGGAGTAAGGAGTTGATCCAATCCCACTGGAGGACGTGGAGACCGGTCCTTCGGATGCATGAGACCGAAAAAAGACCCTCACTGCTCAAAGGCCGTAAGTAACGTGTACAGGTCTAAATTTGCAGCCCGCCACCGGCAAGTGGTGGCGTTACTATATGAGTGAAAAATTCTCGAAGTGACGTTAAACAAACAAACAAACTAATAATACATCGATGTGATGGGATAAAAAAGTATCTCATTGATACATAAATTAAAACTTGTATTGCGATTTTTTTTTAAATATTGTGATACATCGTGATATTTTTTCCTTCAGGATACACAGCCATAGAAATTATATATGAAAATCAATTTAAAAGAACTTGAAATTAATTGTTCCTTATCAATTATCACACAGGAGGAAAACCCTATTATTTTGGAACCACAGACTTGCTCTGCAAAATTGGACGTAGATCAGCACCAAGTCGCTTTACACTGAGCCTGAGTCACCGATGGATCTATTTTGATGGGGAATACTTCGAGTGGGGGGTCAATGGCCAGTCTTATCACTATGGTAGCACCCTAACGGATGGGGATCACTGTCGCACGGAACAAGAGGAGGAACCTGCCGGATACAGCCAGCTGGACAAAAGTTGTATTGAGAAATGTGCCCGATCGTATAAAGGGAGATACGGCTCTTATAATCTGCTGACTAACAACTGCCACATCTTCGCTAACAAATTATCTGAGGTTTTGTGTAACCACACAACATGTCCAGAATGGTGTCAATAAAAAAAATGATAAAATCATGGTGAACACGCAATCAGAAAATATGAAATATAAGTATTTAACTTTATCCAAAACAATGACACTAAGATTTTGTGCAACTTAAACAACAGTTAAGCTTTAACGTTTTGAAAATCATTAGACTAATCTGTTATTTACGACAACAAAATTCCCAGGAGGCAATATTTACGATCTGAATAACCTGAAGTATTGATAAAAGATCTAGAATAAACCAGATTTTATGTAAGGTACGGATAAATGCTGCATTAAAACAAAACTTTTAAATAGAAAAAAAGATATCTTCTTGGAACATAAACACATCATTTGTAGCTTTACATGAAATCCAGAACTCACCACGGAGGGATTGATATCGTAGCTGAAAGAATCGTATATATAAGTATAAATTAAAAAGAAGGTATAGGAAAAAAGGCGGCGATGTTGCCAATAGAAAATGTGTTGTGGTGTATGTCTCTAGTTACAGAGTAGTTGTAGTTATCCTTTTCTCTCGGTATAACAGCTTACTCAGCATGACTAGCACAGGAAAACAACAGAAAATACCAAAACTGTACTTGCAGAATAAATTTCGTAGAAATCCTTTACTCCTACTGTTCCGTCTTTAAATGTAAGCAAAAACAAGTATTCCTTTGGGAAGTATTTACTCAGATGTCAAACCTGAGGCCAATGTGTAGGTAATGACACAGAATGTAGAGAACCGTCAGTCACCTAATAAACTAATGTACATTTGTCAACTTACTCGAAATAGCGAATACAGTTTATCCTAAAGGAAAGGGTGTACTGATACTGTATAAAAAATCAAATTTTTGATATCGGAAATTCAACAAATAAAAATTTTAAAGGTTTTAGGTCAAAGAATAATAATTCTCCCATGGCCTTGCAAGATACAACCTAGGTTTTATTAGAAAATTTAATCCAATTTTTTTTCCATATGATGATTTTTTTGTTTTGTAGCATAGTCAATTTATTTGGTGTTATTGCATTCGAAAAAAAAATGTCAAAAAAGATGGACCCCCTCACACCCACCCCCAAAAACAGGGTTTTAAAATTCCGAAAAAAATTTAATTTTTTTCCTGACAATTTTTTTTAAAGGTTGGCATTCCCCCGCCCACTTTAAAAAAAAAAAAACGATACTAGGTGCCTGTAGGAAATTTAATTATAGAATTATAACACGTATTCCAGGACCGTAGAATTGGAGGCATTTTTTTTCTGATTAGTACCTTGCTATGGTCAATTTTCTTTTAGATGCTGTTAGCCTACCTTCACCCTCCCACCCCCACCTTTTTGTTGCTGTAAGGTCTAGCAGTGGCAAATTCCGGGATTTGAACAAAAATTTACCAAAAAGTAAGAGAAAGGTCCACCCCACCTACCCGTCCACCCATCCCCGGAACAGTTTTTTTCTTGTCAGATTTTTGGGGGAGGTTGGGCACCGTTGCTACGGGCCTGTATCCAATTGCACCTGGTGATTGTGTTTTTATTCTGTTGTCAAATCATATGAAAACAAATCGTGCGACTGTTTTGTAAAATACGACAAACGAAGATAAAAATATCAAAATCTGTCGATGACGACGTAGAAAGATGAGATAATAAATAAGATTGTGAGGATCATTAAACCCTGAACATCAGCTGAAGTTCAATACCTGCCTAAGTGTGGAATACGTAAACAAGCGATTTAATCCAACTGTAACATTCCTTAAAGCTGTATAATATTCTCCCTAACACGCTCGATCTACACAGGATCTACACGGGACATTTCAAAAATTGTTTTAAAAAGTCTGGAGAATCAATGTAAACAGTCCAGAAACGGGTTTCTTCTAATAGCAAATTTTATGTCAAGGACAGCTGAAAAAATGTCTGAACTGCATAGTTATGGCCAAGAAATGAACTATTACAGTACCTACGTATACGCTTGTGACAAATTATCATCGTATAGACTTTGAATTTGCTGTCAGTACATTAATTGAACTTGGGGAATCAAAGCAGATGCAGTACGTATAGGGTAAATATATTACACTGATCGAACCTAGTCCGAAGGCCAAGGTATTTTTGTAAATTAAGACTAAAATTATTTCAAATAAAGTGATTCAGTTCCATTTTCTTTACGGCCAAAATGATGTGAGACACCGTTTAAGCATTTTTAATGCATTTATCGATATCAGAAAATGATTTTTTTTAAATAAAAAATTCGATTTTTTGTATATAATCATTTTCTAATATCAGAAAATATAGTTTTTGATGTCAGAAACTAAATTATATTTTACTATATCAGAAAATTATATTTTATGAAATGAGAGAATACCTGTTTCATAGAAAAATTCAGTTTTTGATATATATTTTTAAAAAATTTATAAAAGATTTTAAAAAAATTAAAAAAAAAATCTTTTTTGATATCAGAGAATCGATGTTTTTATATAGGAAAATGAAATTCTTGATATCAAGAATTACTTTCTGATATCAATTTTATTTTGTAAATAAAGAATTATGACTATTAGTATCTAGATTTTTTTTTTTTTATATCAGAAGATACTTTAAAAATGCTAAAACGATGCATAATTAATGGAAAATACTCATCATTAGTCAACATTGATTCATTCTTATCCAATGATGCTTCGTTGTAAGATTGATATCTATGGAAACTGGTCCAGGTTTTATATAGGGTCACTAAAAGTTTGCCAGCATCAACTACAGACCTGTCTAACTCTCCATATTAATTCGTGGGGGTCAATGTTTGCGGGCAACAAAATTTTACTGGGGACGTTATTTCTCGGGTAATTCAATGAACCGTTACTTTGACAGATTTATTGTTCGTGAGTTGAACTATGAAACCCATGATCATTGACACCCCCCCCCCACGAACAATGATGATGCACTGGACTGAAGTATGCGCAACCGTATGTACACCCGAGTTCCCTCCTTGAAGATTTCCACAGTCTAGTAAATTAAGTTTATAACCTTAACACCTTGCTAGCTTGAGTCCCTTCGATCATTTAGAAAAGGCGTGCAAAAAGTCTGGTGATTTTTCCCCAGTCAACTTTAAAATTGGGCCAATAATATATAGATAGATTTTTTCACTTCAAGAACCCTGTAACACAGATTTACTCATGGGAGGAAGCAAAACAAAGAAAACGAAACAGAGAATATGATACATATTCTGGAAATCAATTCTAATAATGTAAGAGGTGACACCGTATATCATTAAATAATGTTGTTGTTTTTTTTTAATTCGAAATCTTAGTCAGTTAAGTTATTGTTTTAAAGGGAAATCCATTCAAACATTATTTAAATCAAAATAAAACCCACGAATTAGCTTGTGCCAAAATTACGATATTTTGTAATTGAAAGTACACACATATTTTTTTCATATCTATATAGAAATATTTTCTTCAAGGTTTGCAAGTTTTCTATACATTTAAAGGTGCATATATATATTCTATTCGCCAATGAAATATCAAAACGGTATTTACTTTTACATTGAAATATTTTCCTTTGATTAATTATAATTTTTCTTCAGAGGGTACTTTAAAAGGAAATTACTAAACAAAGGCTCGCCAGCTAACTAAACTAAGTTGCATGTCGACATAAATCAGTTGCATGTCGACATAAAGCGTTGCATGTCGACATAGATCAGTTGCATGTCAAATATATATAAGTTGTATGTACATACCGGTATATCTTTATTTATCTCGAATGTAACATAGATATGTTGCAAACATCTAACATATTGTAAATCGAGTTTACCGCGCGGGTGGCAGTACGAGGGTTGTCCTAGAAAAACGCGAAGTTTTCAAATATTCCAGAAGGTACCTGATAAAAAGTATTTATTTTTGCAAATTGTCACGGTAAAAGATCCCCCTTCTTATTCCGTATTTCAGTTTGAATTTTATTGCCCACGCATCAAATTCTTTTGAAATAATATAATTAGACACAAAATGACTTAATTTTGATTTACTGGTTCGAATGAAATACATGAAATCTGCAGAGCATCGTGACAAATAGATAATAGTAACACTCTCTAGAATTATTTATGCACAACTTACTACAAAATTTAGAAATTAAACACAAATGCTGCTAAAAAGTGCAAAAAGCAAATCATGACAAGGCCAATGATCTTGCACGTGTATCTACATATAACTTAACTCAGTGGGAAATAATATTTTCGTCATTTTAACCAGATACATGAATTATAAGATTCAATGACATATGCATATATAGAACCATTATTTAAAGGGTGCTAAAAATCCCTGGACCACAATTTTTCGACTTTAAAAATCTAGCATTGCCAATGACTCTTAGATCCATCAAATGGTAGTATTAGTGACTTGGCACCTTCTCTGAAAAACCCTGCGGAGGTTATTTGTCCGATTTGGACAGTTATAGTTTAAACTTTACTTTTTATTTTGAAAGCATCAGTTAATTTTAATAAATCAACTGCTCCATGTAAGATTCAGGCAGAAGGTGGCACAGGTGCATGATGAAAAATATATTTAATGATTTATATGTAATGTATGTTCACAGACTTGAGCTTTAAACAAAACACTTTTTTTCATTGGTCATTGTTGCTATGGTAACCAACTGAATATCATTGTTGCATGAAACAAGGAACAATTATGCATAAAAATTACAATTTTTGTGTATTTTAATATAAAAATACATCACAAACAGCAATTTCTATCCAAAACGTCTTGTTACTATCTGAAACTATAATATAAAGTCTACTAGTTCTAACAAATCAAGTTTTATTTTTTAAAAAATATTTTTCAGTAATACTGAATCTTGAAATCTATAAATAGCCCAGTGGAGAAAGTCAATAAAAAACCTAAATTTTGATAATTTCAAAGTTATATTTCATGAAAAAAACATACAGATTGCAAAAATTCATTTATGAATTCAGAAACTGTATCCTCAAGAGATGTGAATTATCAAATAAAAATTCTGCGTTTTCCTTTTTTTAAAAATAAATCGCACAATTCGAAAAAAGGCGTTTTTTAACA